ATCTTTTTTTAACATAGTTTCTAAACTTGTATTCTGAACACCTCTGCAAAAGCAGTGATAATGTGTGAGTGTGGTGAAAGTGTTGAATGATGATGAAAATATTTTCTTTTTGGGGATTTTCTTTCTTTTTTGGGTCACCCTGCCTCGGTGGGAGACGACTGACTTGTTGAAAAAAAAAAAAAAATTCAATAAGCAACTGAAGTATGTATAAATGACCTATGCAAAGAATTTTTTTTTCCTACAAACTTTGCAAAATCAAAAAAATCTCAAGATTTCAAAATTTGTACTCTAACATTTACTGTAAATTTAATACTATATTTACACCCATTTCTACAATAAATTCAAATAGCCATTATCAATACCTAATTAAAAAAGAGAAGATTTTCATAAGTATCAATTTCCCATCATAGCAGTTTCCTAAATATAGTTATTTGTATATTTAAAAAAATTTCATTGCAATAATAACTTTAAAAGATAAGAACTAATTTATTTCTAAGTAGTACTATCAAAATTAATAGTGTCTACTCATGCCAGAACAAGAATTCAGACTAATTTAATTAACTATACTCTGAATTTAGAGCCCGACCAATGACCAAACGACGTATTTCGCTGGTTCCTGCACCAATCTCATAGAGTTTGGCATCTCGGAGGAAACGACCAGTGGGATAATCATTAATATATCCATTTCCACCTGAAAAAAAATTCAAGAGATAAGTATTAATTAAGAGAAGTATCATGAGAGATGACAAAATTGTTACTGTACATCCACTAATTGTGTAATATTTTTCTGATGGTTAATGCATTCATAATTCGTACCAGTGATGTCTGTGATTTATGGAGTGAAAAACATGGGGAAAAATAGGACTGCATGCCTCAGACCCCAAAAAAATTCAGCCTTTTTTTTTTTTTATCATATATCTTCAAAAAATAATACTTTTTTCTACCTAATTTTGTTGATGAGGATGCTCTGTGAAATATGTATCTGAATTCTAACAAGGTTTAGACAGTGAAAAGGTTACATTAATTATTATGTTCTATTTGTTATTTACCTTTAAATCAGGTTCAGGATGCTTCACATCCTGAAGCAAGTGAAAAAGAGTGGCTATGGCCTTACCGGGCCAAGGTTGATGGTTGGGGTTGATGTGATGTTGAAGGTTTAGGATCTTGTGATGTTGTTACAGCTTCATCAGCTGATTGTTGCAATGGAATGCTCAGGTATTTTGTTATGCACTATTGATTTGTTTTACCCTGCAGTTCTTTATACAGCAGATAAGGCCCAAGTGCCTGCTCCAGAGCATGCTTTGCACCAATGCCCTTGTGGCTTAGCGCTTCTTTTTGATTATAATAATAATAATTTGCACCAATGCTTCTATCAGAGTCATGGTCCTTTTCAATAAACAAGTCTGCAACCTTATCAATAGTCTGCAGTGACTCTCGTACCTCTTGCAGTGTCAACATTGCTCCTTCACACTCGAGTTGTTTGTCCACATCATCATCTGTTCTCTGCAGCTAGTAATTTAATTTCTGCAACATTTCCCTTACAGCTGGTTAATCATCATCTTGGAGTTAATGACATCATCTGGCTGCACATATTCAAATCCCTCAACTGGCACTTATCTTTCAAGGCAAAAAATTTCCTGAACCAAATTTCTACTTTATGGAATACCTGTAAATTCATTCACCATGCTAGACCATATTTTTCTACAACCAGTGTTTATTGTTGATTATGATAAATGATTCCATGCTTTGGTCACATTGGAAAGTGCATCTGCAATGTTAAATCTGCACCAAAACTCTGGCACTACTGTCTGTCTAGTCAAGTGCTGCCACTAGCTTTTGCACCACACTGTGTGCACAGTGGCACTTACATGTTTTGATAACTCTTCGATCTAGTGGTTGTATCAAGGATGTTTTATTTGGTGGTAAGAAGACAATTTTGGCACCTGGCTCCAAATCCTCCAGGAGTTAAGTTTCACTATGACAATTATCAAGGATGAGGAAAGCCCTGAATGCAAGATTTTTCTGTGACAGATGTGATAAAGTTGGTAGAATTACCGACAATATGTGAAATAAAACTACACAAGTGCAACTAATGTGACATTTGTATTGTGCCAACGTTTCGCTCTTGACAAAGCTCCTGGAGAGTGAAACGTTGCCACAATAAAAATGTCACATTAGTTGCACTTGTGTCCTTTTATTTTACAGGGACAGATGTACATCTTTACTTCAGAAATAATCTAATGCTTGAACCACTTACTGAAGAAGACCTCAGCCAACCATGTTGTGGCTTTGGGCTTTCAAATATTTAACAGACAATGAGTTTTGGCTTTGTTTTTTTAGCACAGGGATACATGGAGCAATAAACAAGCATGGGTTTACAATTAAGGTCACCTAACACATTACTACAAAGCAAACTGACACGATCTTTTGCAGCCTTAAATCTGGGAGCAGTTTTCTCGTTTGCTGATACACATTCCAGATAGATTTTTTCTGAAAGAAGATATACCGTCTTAGCATTACATACCTGCTCAGGTTTGTAGCCACCCTCAGAGATAATGTATGCTAGATCGGCTGGAAATTTTTCTGTTGCAGTAGGGCTGGCAAAGGCACTCTCCCAATTGAACTTTATATTATGCAGGCCACTGCACATTCTAAACCAGTTAAACCATCCAGAACTAAATGTACACTCATTTTCAGGCTGTCCTTCCTCCTCACACACTGTTTTATAACATGATAAGGCTTTCTCCCTAATAAGGCGATCCAGGGGAATGCCTTTTTGTTTTCAATTTGAACATTTAGTAAACTTTCTGTTTTATTTAGCTGTAATGATCTATTCCTCATTCTTTTTGCCGTGTCAGTCTCAAATGAATTGTCGATTCTTTATCACCAAACACTGGTGCCGTCTCCATGACCCATGCAACACATTTCAGCATCTCAATTCTTTCCATATTTATTTGAACTAAATTTTCTTCCTTGCTTCACCAGTGTCACCTGTACTGTTTGAATGTCATGATCAATATCCAGAGATGAGATGGGGTGATGAAAAGAAGGAAAAAACCAAGTGATGCACATTGAGGGAAAAATTGTACAGTACACCTCCAGATAGAGTGACCCTCACATGGGAAGCTGTTTATTTACATCCCCTCACACCTTCTCACACCCTCAACCACATCACAAACAATGGAGTTGCCCAATGAGAAGTGTGGGGGGTCTCCTGCCTGTCTGCCTTCTCCTCAATGGAAATGCATGGCAATAGAAATGAATTTTGCTCTAACATACCTTAATAGCACTATCCTGTTGAACATATACAACTAAATTTAAGTCACAGAATACTGAAAATGGAAACTTTGATTGCTTGACTTACAGGTGTCTCCTGTACTACTTTAAAAATTTTGAGAAACAAGAGAAAAAGAAAGAGGATGTATTCCTCAACAGAATAAAGGAAAAGTATAAACCAATTTAACAAGATTTCCACATAGTAATAGTAGTACAGAAATTTGATATATTCTTCACAGCATGTAATTGCTGCTACCAAAGCATTTTTAGTAACTCACCTAAACATTGAATGGCATCAAGGCATAGCTGAGTCGCCTTCTCAGCGCAATAGAGGATAACGCCAGCACAATCCTTCCTGTTTACATGCCCGAGGTCGCATGCCCTACCCACTGAATACAGGTAGGAGCGGCAAGCACTTAGAGAGCAGTACATGTCTGCTATTTTGCCCTGACGGTAGAAGTGGTCTATATTAATGTGCTGCATAAGGATATTTTAAACTGAAAATAAGAAAAACATCCAACCTTATATATGTATCTCTTCAAGGGAGGGGCTCTTGATGTAAAGAATTTGATGTGCTCCCCTTCCTTGGACCAAATCTGAATGCCTCCATTGCTCCTGGTGCTGTAAGACCCCTATGGGTTTAGCATTCCCCTATGAATGTACAGTAGTAGTATAATACATGTATCCTAACCCTCTTAGATATCTGTAACAAATGTGTACACACACAAGTTATCTCGTTCCAGCGCAAGAACACATTGTAGAACGTGTACAAAATATTCCCAGGCACAACCTGGGTGGACAAATAGAAGATTTTGCTCATATTATTAATCTGGAGGGTTAGTAACCCAGGATAACCCAATCAAGCTATGTCATCAAACTGACTTATTTCCAATGGGGTCCTCTGATCCTCTTCCCCAGGATGCTACCCACACATTACCTAACACCATAATATTTGCTTACTGCTAGGTGAACAGGGGCAGCAGGTGTAAGGAAATACGCCCATTGTTTCCACTTATGTGGGCCTCTTGAAGAAGTCTATTTTTTATCACGCTTGGGACATGTTCTCTTGAAAAACCTTGTAGCATGTTATCTTGTACTGTGGTTGTCTAAAGTGCAGTATACTGATCATCTAAAGCAAGGGGTCCTAACTTTTTCTAGGGAATGTTTGATTAATGTTGCACCCCCCTACAAATGTAATATCACATATGACGATGAAGAAGTCAAATTTCAAATTTTTGAATTGCAAATTGAACTAAATATAGTACTGCAGGTTTGTCATTAGGACTCTTTGTTGCACCCCCTGAAATGCCAGGTTGGGAACCCCTGATTTAAAGCAACAGCACATGTACATTCAGGTACTGGTATAAGGTTGTAACCTGTTCACATCTGCATGAAGGACATGGCCTTCATCAACCATCAACTGTACTGTAATGCATTTTTCAGTCGAGCTGTGAGGCAAGACTTGACACACAACATTATATAACTTGAAACAACCTAAGCTTATGCTGCATTATCCTGCTATCACTCCCTAAGATACAGCTACCAAAAAACCATCTAAATGGACATGTTGTATCACAAAAAAATTATTGCAGGCAGTCTCCTTTATAAATAAAAAAGATGAACAGCTTCTTGGGTAATTATCCCTAAGGAGTGCAGAAATTTGTCCATCGTAATTGGACACTTTTATATAGTAATATTGTAGTCTTCAATATCCAATAATAAAAATTAAACAAACCTGCATAAGTTGAAATTCTCCAATTCTTTGGTTGAATTGCTTACGAATGTGAACGTACTCAAAGGCAACATCGCAGGCTGCTTGCATTAGTCTGTAAGTTCAAAACAATAAAAGTAGAAAATTTTTGTACCTCTTCAAACATCTTAGTTTAAAATAACATTTAACTAAAATTAACTGGGTTTTTTCTAAAACTCTAAGAACCTCTTTCCCTCAAAGAATAGTTTCCTCAAGAAGGAAAGAGGGAGGAGGAGGAGGGGTGGGGGGAGGTATATGCAATTCACAAAATTATCACAAGCATTTCCAATGGACTCGTGTTCCAAAAAATCACTTAAAGGAATACCTATAACCTGACAAGTAATGTTACATACTGGTTTGAATACCATAAAAGGGAGATATACTGAAGTATAGTAGGACCTCCGTTTCTACACGGGATGCGTTCCAAGGACCTGCCGCAGATACTGAAACTGCGGATAGGAGCGAACCCTATATATAAGTCCTATACATACGTGTTATAAAGTTCAATTGATAAATTATACACAATAAGTGGGGAACTATCACTTTTTCACTGATGGGAAGCACTTCATGGCTTCTCTTAGGCTTTGAAGAACTTCTGCCATCACTACTTTTGCACTATGATGCTATTATTAAGTAAAATTAAGGGTTGTTTTTGGGCCACAGTAAACCATGGATAACTGAAGCTGCGGATACCAGACCCGTGGATATGGAGGTCTTACTGTATGGTGGTACCAACACTGTTACTTGGGTGTGAAGTATGAGTTTTAAATGTGTCAGTAAAGAGGAAGCTGTAGGTAGTGGAGATGTTGTGTTTCAGGGTAAGATCTTTCAACAAACTGGCTGTATCCCACTGAAGCCGGGTGGCCCAAAAAGATAAGTGAAAGTTTCTCTTTTTAACTTTAGTAATGCATACAGGAGAAAGGATTACTAGCCCCTTGCTCCCAGCATGTTAGTCGCCTCTTATGACATGCACGGCTATGGAGGAAGAATTCTGTTCCACTTCCTCATTGAGATAGAGAAAATAAACAAGAACTAGTAAGAAAATAGCGAAATCCCAGAGGGGTGTGTATATATATGCTTGCACATGCATGTGTAGTGTGACTTAAGTGTAAGCAGAAATAGCAAGACATACCCAAAATCTTGCATGTTAATGAGACTGGAAAAAGACAACAGCAATCCTATGATCATGTAAAACAATTACAGGCTTCAGTTTTACACTCACTTGGCAGGACAGTAGTACCTTCCTGGGCTGTTCCTGTCTACCAATCTACTACCTAGTTGAGGGTAATCTTTCTTTCAACACACTGGCTGTATCCCACCGAGGCAGGGTGGCCCAAAAGGAAAAAGGAAAGTTTCTCCTTTTACATTTAGTAATATATACAGGAGAAGAGGTTACTAGCCCCTTGCTCCCGGCATTTTAGTCGCTTCTTACACACACACGGCTTACGAAGGAATAATTCTGTTCCACTTCCCCATGGAGATAAGAGGAAATAAGCAAGAATAAGAACTAGAAAGAAAATAGAAGAAAACCCAGTGGGGTGTGTATATATGTGCTTGTACATGTATGTGTAGTGTGACCTAAGTAAGTAGAAGTAGCAAGACATACCTGAAATCTTGCATGCTCATGAGACAGAAAAAAAGGACACCAGCAATCCTACCATCATGTAAAACAATTACAGGCTTTCGTTTTACACTCACTTGGCAGGACAGTAGTACCTTCCTGGGCTGTTGCTGTCTACCAATCTACTACCTAGTTGAGGGCAATATATGGTTTAAATATTATGCAAACAATTTGGAGCATGGAGATTAGGTGTGAGGGATTACCAAAGGAATATCTTTTCTATTTTGATTGCCAAAGGAATACCTTTGGTAATCCCTCATACCTTCTGAGGAAAAAGGAGAGATTGTTCAACTGGTGTGGACATTTAGAGGCTGGAGAAAAACAGGATAGTTTCATTTATCCTTGGGTGAATGGAGCCAAGTAAATTGTCTGACAACCTGGAAAAATATAGTGAATAATATAGAAGCCAGGAAAGGCTAACAGAAAATTTAATTTCCTATTAAGGTTTCATATTAACTACTCACAGCTTACAACCAAACTAGCAAATCATTCTTCATTTTATTTATTTTTGCAAAACAATAAAATTTTCCAAAAATTAGCAGCCTAGTTCACATTTACAGTTAATATTTAAAAAGTAAAGAAAGAAACCATACCCAACAGGTCCACCAGCTAGCACAAGTCTCTCAAGGTCCAAGCCGGAGAATAGTACGTAGATGCCACCATTGAGCTTACCCAGGATATTTTTGGCTGCAGAAGAAATAGTAGTAATTATCCAAGGGGGTAAAGCAGCTGGAACTGACGGGATCATGACAGAAATGTTAAAAGCAGGGGAGGATATAGTTTTAGAGTGGCTGGTATTTTTGTTTAATAAATGTATGAAAGAGGGGAAGGTACCTAGGGATTGGCAGAGAGCATGTATAGTTCTTTTACATAAAGGGAAGGGGGACAAAAGAGATTGTAAAAATTAGTTTGCTGAGTATACCAGGAAAAGTGTATGGTAGGGTTATTACTGAAAGAATTAGAGGCAAGACAGAACGTAGGATTGTGGATGAGCAAGGAGGTTTTAGAGTGGGTAGGGGATGTGTAGATCAAGTGTTTACATTGAAGCATATATGTGAACAGTATTTAGATAAAGGTAGAGAAGTTTTCATTGCATTTATGGATTTAGAAAAGGCATATGATAAAGTGGATAGGGGAGCAATGTGGCAGATGTTGCAAGTGCAGTGGACCCCTGGTTTACGATATTATTTCATTCCAGAAGTATGTTCAGGTGCCAGTACTGACCGAATTTGTTCCCATAAGGAATATTGTGAATTAGATTAGTCCATTTCAGACCCCAAAACATACACATACAAACGCACTTACATAATACACTTACATAATTGGTGGCATTGGGAGCTGATCGTAAACCTAGGGTTCACTGTATATGGAATAGGTGGTAAATTACTAAATGCTGTAAAGAGTTTTTATGAGGATAATTAGGCTCAGGTTAGGGTGTGTAGAAGAGAGGGAGACTACTTCCCGGTAAAAGTAGGTCTTAGACAAGGATGTGTAATGTCACCATGGTTGTTTAATTTATTTATAGATGGGGTTGTAAAAGAAGTAAATGCTAGAGTGTTCGGGAGAGGGGTGGGATCAAATTATGGGGAATCAAATACAAAATGGGAATTGACAGTTACTTTTTGCTGATGATACTGTGCTTATGGGAGATTCTAAAGAAAAATTGCAAAGGTTAGTAGGCAAGTTTGAGAGTGTGTGTAAAGGTAGAAAGTTGAAAGTGAACATAGAAAAGAGTAAGGTGATGAAGGTATCAAATGATTTAGATAAAGAAAAATTGGATATCAAATTGGAGAGGAGGAGTATGAAAGAAGTGAATGTTTTCGGATATTTGGGAGTTGACGTGTCAGCGGATGGATTTATGAAGGATGAGGTTAGTCATAGAATTGATGAAGGACAAAAGGTGAGTGATGCATTGAGGTATATGTGGAGACAAAAAACGTTATCTATGGAGGCAAAGAAGGGAATGTATGAAAGTTTAGTAGTACCAACACTCTTATATGGGTGTGAAGCTTGGGTTGTAAATGCTGCAGCGAGGAGATGGTTGGAGGCAGTGGAGATGTCCTGTATAAGGGCAATGTGTGGTGTAAACGTTATGCAGAAAATTCGGAGTGTGGAAATTAGGAGATGTGGAGTTAATAAAAGTATTAGTCAGAGGGCTGAAGAGGGGTTGTTGAGGTGGTTTGGTCATTTAGAGAGAATGGATTAAAGTAGAATGACATTGAGAGCATATAAATCTGTAGGGGAAGGAAGGCGGGGTAGGGGTCGTCCTCGAAAAGGTTGGAGGGAAGGGGTAAAGGAGGTTTTGTGGGCGAGAGGCTTGGACTTCCAGCAAGTGTGCATGAGTGTGTTAGATAGGAGTGAATGGAGACGAATGGTATTTGGGACCTGATGAGCTGTTGGAGTGTGAGCAGGGTAATATTTAATGAAGGGATTCAGGGAAACTGGTTATTTTTATATAGCCGGACTTGAGTCCTGGAAATGGGAAGTACAATGCCTGCACTCTAAAGGAGGGGTTTGGGATATTGGCAGTTTGGAGGGATATGTTGTGTATCTTTATACGTATATACTTCTAAACTGTTGTCTTCTGAGCACCTCTGGAAAAACAGTGATTATGTGTGAGTGAGGTGAAAGTGTTGAATGATGATGAAAGTATTTTCTTTTTGGGGATTTTCTTTTTGGGTCACCCTGCCTCGGTGGGAGATGGCCAACTTGTTGAAAAAAAGAGAGAGAGAGAGAGATAAGATTACACCCAGGGAGGTACTACCGTCCTACCAAGTAAGTGTAAAACGAAAGCCTGTAGTTGTTTTACATGATGGTAGGATTGCTAGTGTCTTTTTTTCTGTCTAATGAGCATGCAAGATTTCAGGTACGTCTTGCTACTTCTACTTACATTTAGGTCACACTACACATACATGTACAACCATATATATATACACACCCCACTGGGTTTTATGTTATTTTCTTTCTAGTTCTGTTCTTAGTTTATTTCCTCTTATCTCCATGGGGAAGTGGAACAGAATTCTTCCTCCACAAGGCATGTGCGTTGTAAGAGGCGACTAAAATGCCGGGAGCAAGGGGCTAGTAACCCCTTCTCCTGTATAAATTACTAAATTTGAGAAGAGAAACTTTTGTTTTTCTTTTTGGGCCACCCTGCCTCGGTGGAATATGGCCCAGTTTGTTGAAAGAAGAAAAGATAGGATTAGACTCGTATAGACTCTCTTTCATGATGTGTTAAACTTTCAAGGACACAGAACAAAGCAGATGAGACAGGAATGGTGATATATAACATAAGAACACAAGAAACATACCTTGAATAAGGACAAAATGTTAAAACACAGGAAATATGTGCAGAACAGGATAGACAGACTAACCCAGAACACATGCTGCAAACAATACTAAAGCAGAGCAGGACAGCCAGGAAAACATAAAACAGGAAAGCCCAGGAAAGTGCCACAAGAAAACATAGGAAAGAAGAAATACTGTACATAAATACCACACCTGGGAAATGTAAAACTATGGAATAAGATGCAAATACCAGCATATCAGAAAGCATTCTAATATGTCCAGAAGTGGCAGTGCCAATTTGGTAAAGAATGTAGGTATTTTCACCTAGAGATGTACCATCATTACTAATTAGACACTGATGCAACGTAAGTTGCCCAGATTGCCAATTAAAGAAAAAACAATGATATGGTATTACATATCAGGAGGCCAAAGACATAGTAAACAATAAGGGAAAACTTTTGAAACACATTTAGAAAAAGCAGGGAATACAGAGACACAAGCAATGGAACACAGCAAACCAGTTCCAAACATACCCAGGCCAAACATACAACACACATTAAAGGCAGTACTGAGGAGAGCAGAAATGTGTACATGAAGATGGCACAACACCAGAGGTACTAAACCCAAACATCCTAAATGGTAAATCCCCATCCTTTTTTATTTTTGCCAACATTCAGGGTGTAATAAAGTTGGTAGAATTACCGACAATATGTAAAGTAAAAGGACACAAGTGCAACTAATGTGACATTTTATTGTGGCAACGTTTCGCTCTCCATGTATTGCTTGTTTGTAATGGCTTGATAAAGCTCCTGGAGAGCGAAACGTTGCCACAATAAAATGTCACTTTAGTTGCACTTGCGTCCTTTTACTTAACATTCAGGGTATAAAAACAAAAATAATGAAGTAACACGAGTGGGCTCCTCATAAAACTTAATGCCATGTTTGAAGCATTTACTGAAACACATACATGGATGTTTTGGACAATGATGAAAATTTATAATATAAGTGATGTGTTTTCTGTACTACAGAGTGTGTTTGCAATGATTAAAATCTTCACTTTTAAACAATTAATTTATAATAATTAAAATATTATTAATCAGTGATAATATAATCAAAGCTTCTATAAAAGGGCAACAGCTCAGTAACTGCAGAGCCCTTGATGTACATATAGAACTACAACAAAGCATCACAACACAGTGTTAACTTACCAGGTACTTTACAATCTTCAAAGATGAGCTCACAAGTGTTTGAACCACGAATGCCCAGTTTGTCTAACTTTGGGCCAGTGCTGAACCCATCCATGCCTTTCTCAATGAGGAAGGTTGTCACTCCATGTTGGGGCTTTGGTGTATTAGGATCTGTCTTGGCATACACCTGAAAAGCCGTATTAATTAGAAAATGTATAAAGTGTATAATAAATGGAAAATAAGACATGTGCATGTAAGACACATTTTAATAAAGGAACATTTTGCCACAAATGGCTTCTCTATTAAGATAACCCTAGGCAGTTTACATAGTCATAAGGGTGAAGTTTTAACAGGTGTCAACTATAACATCACTGCCTCCAGCTTCCTCCTTGCTACTATTTGAATCAGAATATTCTTATGCCTCCATAACTCTATTCAAATAAAAGCCCCAAAAATCTGAATATCGCTGCCTGAAAATTTATTACATATACATTGTACATTAATGATACATGTATGTAAAGGAAGAAAGTTGAAAGTGAACACAGATAAGAGTAAGGTGACGAGGGTATCAAATGTTATGTAAAGAAAAATTGGATATCACATTGGAGGGAGGGAGTATGGAAGAAGCAAATGTGTTCAGATATTTGGGAGTAGACTTGTCAGGGGATGAGTTTATGAAGGACGAGGTTAACCACAGAACTTCTGAAGGAAAAAAGGTGGGTGGCGCACTGAGGTATCTGTGGAGACAAAAAAATGTTATCCAGAGAGGCAAAGAAGGGAATATATGAGAGTATAGTGGTATTAACACTCACATGGGTGTGAAGCATGGGATGTAAATGCTGCAGCGAGGAGGAGGCTGGAGGCAGTGGAGATATCATGTCTACAGGCAATGTGTGGTGTAAACATTATGCAGAGAATTCATAGTGTGGAAATTAGGAGAAAGTGTAGAGTTGCTAAAAGTATCATTCAAAGGGCCAAAGAGGGGTTCTTGAGTGGTTTGGTCATTTAGAGAGAATGGAGCAAAGTAGGATGACTTGGAAGGTGTGTAAGTCTGTAATGAAGGGAAGGAGAGGTAGGGATGTCCTAGGAAAGGATGGAAGATTTGTTTGCAAGAGGCTTGGACATACAGCAGTCAAGTGTGATCGTGTTAGATAGGAGTGAATGGAGACGAATGGTTTTTGGGACCTGACAAGCTAATGGAGTGTGAGCAGAGTAACATTTTGTGAAGGGATTCTGGGAAACCAGTTAGTTGGACTTGAGTCCTGAAGGTGGGAAGCGCAATTCCTACACTTTAAAGGAGGGGATTTGGATACTGGCTATTTGGAGTGACATCTAAACTGTCGTATCTGAGCACCTCTGCAAAGACAGTGATTATGTGTGAATGATGGTGAAAGTGTTGAATGATGATGTATTTCTTTCTTTTTTGGGACACCTTGCTTCGGAAGGAGGCGGCCATCAATTTGAAAGAAAAGTTTAATTAACAGGTATACATTAAACAGTAATGATTACTATTTGACATTTTCTTTTTTGTGCCACCCCCTCCTTTGGTGGGATACAGCCGGTTTGTTGAAAGAAAGAAGAAAGATTACTATTTGTAAGTGAAAAGGAACACAACTTATATGAAATTAGATATAGAATATTATGGCATGGGAATGCACCTCCACTTGTTACATGGGTGTCTATGGGATGATAGAGTTTAAGTTCTGGACAACTGACTGACAAGTGAACCAAAGAACAGGTGGTGTTTGAAGCCATGGCAAACAAGTCCTAAAACTCACTTGCCACGAGTTTAAACCCCACCTGTTCTGTGGTTTTTTGCAACTGTGCTATTATGATTTCACGAGACTCACAATAAATTTCAGGAAAGCGTTAACGTCATAAGTGGTGAACCTACTGTACTTTAAAAATGTAGGTTCACCACTTATGACGTTAATGCTTTCCTGAAAATTACTTGTAAGTCTCATGATATCGTAATAATACAGTTGCAAACAAACCACAGAACAGGTGGGGTTTAAACTCGTGGCAAGTGAGTTTTAGGATTCGTTTGCCATTGGTTCAAACTCCACCCATTATTTGGTTCACTTGTAAGTCAGTTGTTCAGAACTTAAACTCTATCATCCCATAGACACCCATGTAACAAGTGGAGGTGTATTCCCATGCCATAATATTCTGTAGCTAATTTCATATAAGTTGTGTTCCTTTTCACTTACAAATAGTAATCTTTCTTCTTTCTTTCAACAAACCAGCTGTATCCCACCAAAGGAGGGGGTGGCCCAAAAAAAGCAAAAGTCAAATAGCAATCATTATTGTTTAATTAATGTATACCTGTTAATTAAACTTTTCTTTCAAATTGTTGGTCATCTCCTGCAAAAGCAAGGTGCCCCCAAAAAAGAAAGAAATACTTCACCATCATTCACACATAATCACTGTCTTTGCAGAGGTGCTCAGATACGACAGTTTAGATGTCACTCCAAACAGCCAGTATCCCAAACGCCTTTTTTAAAGTGAAGGAATTGTACTTCCCACCTTCAGGATTCAAATTCGATTAACCTGTTTCCTTGAATCCCTTCACAAAATGTTACTCTGTTCACACTCCATTAGCTTGTCAGATCCCAAAAACCATTTGTCTCCATTCACTCCCATCTAACACACACATGCCTGCTGTATATCCAAGCCTCTTGCACACAAACCCTCCATCCGTTCCTAGGACATCCCCTACCCCTCCTTCCCTCCATTACAGACTTATATACCCTCCAAGTCATCCTACTTTGTTCCATCCTCTCTAAATGACCAAACCACCTCAACAGCCAGGATAAAAAAAACTAACAAATGCTAAAACAAAGCACATCTCACCACTAAAACATCTGCATCAGGTCCATTTGTGATCCAAAACTTGCTGCCATTAAGGATGTAGCAGTCTCCTTTTTTCTCTGCCTTTAGTTTCATGGATACCACATCGCTACCAGACCCTGGTTCAGACATGGCCAGTGCTCCAAAGTATTCCCCTGAACACAGCTGCAGAGCAGCAATATACAGGACTACAACATTAGAAAGTCAAACCTCAGTTATTAATCATCCTCAATTTGATATCCTAAGAAGAAATTTTTGTACTCAAACTTTTATTTTAATGAAAAAAAAGTGTAATCAATGTTCAACACAACTGTCAAATTAACTTCAAATGTGATGTAAAGGAGACCCAACCAGTCATCACGACTCCAGTTTCTGTGTCAAATAAATTAAAGAGAGCCAATCATTTAACCCTTAAACGGTCCAAACAGATTGACGTTCAAATCCGTAGTGCTCCAAACGTAGATCTATGTTTTTTTTACATATTTTCGAACATAAAAAAAAATGTAGATAAAAGTTTTTTACACATTTTCAAATGAAAAAAAAAAAAAAGACGATCTACATTTTTTTACATACTTTCAAATGTTGAAAAAACATATATATACGTTTGGACCATTTAAGGGTTAATTACAGGGCCATAACATGATATATATCAGAGCATCTTTTAGTACCTGCATTATAATAACAGCAACTTATTGCACAAAGAGCAAATATACTAGCAATCAGCATATCATCATTGCAACTCACCTTAGGCAGATACTTCTCCTTTTGTTCTGTTGTGCCATTGATGTTGATCTGGTTGATGCACAAGTTGGAGTGTGCCCCGTATGACAGTCCAATGCCCCCTGATGCCCGAGACACCTCTTCCATGACAATGACATGATCTAAATACCCCATGCCAGAGCCTCCAAAATCAGGGTTTGCTGTTATTCCAAGCAATCCCAAGTTGCCCATTTTACGCCAAAATTCCTGCAAAGTTAAAGGGTGAAGTTAGAAATGTGCAAATATTATAGTTAACAAAACAAACTAGACAATAATGAAAATATAATGAAGCAAGTCTGAACAAATGCATCTGCTGATCTGTTGATGACTGATGACTTGCCAACGTCAAGAAAGTTCTGAGACAAAAAAAAATATAATCTGCAGTTAATGTACATACTTAGCCTATACAGTGGACCCCCGGTTAACGATATTTTTTCACTCCAGAAGTATGTTCAGGTGCCAGTACTGGTCGAATTTGTTCCCATAAGAAATATTGTGAAGTAGATTAGTCCATTTCAGACCCCCAAACATACACATACAAACGCACTTACATAAATATACTTACATAATTGGTCGCAATCGGAGGTAATCGTTATGCGGGGGTCCACTGTATATAGTCTAAACATTAACAGTACTGTTAATTCATTTAGAAAATTTAAGCAATGCTGCTGAGTTTTTACAATGTTTATAGGGTGCATAATGACAATAATAAATTATATTATGCTGGAATAGCAAAAAGAAAGGGTATGTATCATGAGAGCATGAAGATTACAATTTTATTTTTTTCAACAAGTCAGCCATCTACCACCGAGGCAGGGTGACCCAAAAAGAAAATCCCCAAAAAGAAAATACTTTCATCATTCAACACTTTCACCTCACTCACGCATAATCACTGTTTTTGCAGAGGTGCCCAGAATACATCAGCCCAGAAGCACATACGTATAAAAATACACAACATATCCCTCCAAACTGCTAATATCCTGAACCCCTCCTTTAGAGTGCAGGCATTGTACTTCCCATTTCCAGGACTCAAGTACGGCTATATAAAAATAACCGGTTTCCCTGAATCCCTTCACTAAATATTACCCTGCTCACACTCCAACAGCTCGTCAGGTCCCAAATACCATTCGTCTCCATTCACTCCTATCGAACACGCTCACGCACGCTTGCTGGAAGTCCAAGCCCTTGCCCACAAAACCTCCTTTACCCCTTCCTTCCAACCTTTTCAAGCACGACCCCTACCCCGCCTTCCTTCCCCTACAGATTTATACGCTCTCCATGTCATTCTACATGTACTTTGATCCATTCTCTCTAAATGACCAAACCACCTTAAAAACCCCTTTTCAGCCCTCTGACTATTACTTTTATTAACTCCACACCTTCTCCTAATTTCCACACTCTGAATTTTCTGCATAATATTTACACCACACACTGCCCTTATACAGGACATCTCCACTGCCTCCAACCTCCTCCTAGCTACAGCATTTACAACCCAAGCTTCACACCCATATAAGAGTGTTGGTACTACTATACTTTCATACATTCCCTTCTTTGCCTCCATAAATAACGTTTTTTTGTCTCCACAAATACCTCAACGCACCACTCGCCTTTTTTCCCCTCATCAATTCTATGACTAACCTCATCCTTCATAAATCTATCCGCCGACACGTCAACTCCCAAATATCTGAAAACATTCACTTCCATACTCCTCCTCCCCAATTTGATATCCAATTTTTCTTTATCTAAATCATTTGATACCCTCATCACTTTACTCTTTTCTATGTTCACTTTCAAATTTCTACCTTTACACACACTCCCAAATTCGTCCACTAACCTTTGCAATTTTTCTTTAGAGTCTCCCATAAGCACAGTATCATCAGCAAAAAGTAACCGTGTCAATTCCCATTTTGTATGTGATTCCCCATAATTTAATCCCACCCCTCTCCAGAAAACCCTAGCATTTACTTCTTTTACAACCCCATCTATAAATATATTAAACAGCCATGGTGACATTACACATCCCTGTCTAAGACCTATTTTTACCAGGAAGTAGTCTCCCTCTCTTCTACACACCCTAACCTGAGCCTCACCTATCCTCATAGAAACTCTTTAAAGCATTTAGTAACTGTATTTAAAATTTTATACCACAATACATCTTTTATAAATTCTTTCTTCTTTCAACAAACTGGCTGTATCCCGAGGCAGGGTGGCCCAAAAAGAAAAAAATTTCTCTTTTTAAATTTAGTAATTTATACAGGAGAAGGGGTTACTAGCCCCTTGCTCCCGGCATTTTAGTCGCCTCTTACAACACGCATGGCTTACGGAGGAAGAATTCTGTTTCACTTCCCCATGGAAGTGAAAGGAAATAAACAAGAACAAGAAAGAAAATAGCAGAAAACCCAGAGGGGTGTGTGTATATACATGTATATGCTTGTACATGTATGTGTAGTGTGACCTAGAAGTAGCAAGACGTACCTGAAATCTTGCATGTTTATGAGACAGAAAAAAAGGACACCAGCAATCCTACCATCATGTAAAACAATTACAGGCTTTCGTTTTACACTCACTTGGCAGGATGGTAGTACCTCCCTGGGCGGTTACTGTCTACCAACCTACTACCTAGGATCTTTTATATACAGTGGACCCCCGGTTAACAATATTTTTTCACTTCAGAAGTATGTTCAGGTGCCAGTGCTGACCCGAATTTGTTCCCATAAGGAATATTGTGAAGTAGATTAGTCCATTTCAGACCCCCAAACATACACGTACAAACGCACTTACATAAATACACTTACATAATTGGTCGCATTCGGAGGTGATCGTTATGCGGGGGTCCACTGTATATTGTATTACTCTAGAACTATATACAGGTGTCTCTTCTTTTGTGATGAATGCTTTTTTTTTTTTAATACACAGATCAGTTTTATAGGCTAAGATCTGTTATCTTACCTCAGCTCATTTGAAAGTCTGGTTCTATCTAAGGTATACTACCACCACCCCAGGATGCAACCCCAACAACAGTCAGCTAACACCCACTTACTGCTAGGTGAACAGGGGAGCAGGAGAAAGGGAAAAACATGCCCGATGTTTCCACCTGGCGGGGGATTGAACCATGGACATTCAATGTGTGAAATGATGCTCACCACAACCCATGGAATCATAATGCAGAATTACAAAATCAATGAGTGTCCATGGTTCAATTTTTGGGTATGGGTAGAAACACCGGCGTGTTTCCTTCAGACATCTGCGTCCCTCTTCACCTAGCGCAAGTAGGTACCTGGGTGTTAGTCACTGGTGTGGGTTGCATCCTGGGGACAAAATTAACACAAGTTCCTTGAAATGCTCTGCATAACCAGGGCTTTCTATACAGTATGTCACTGATAACAGCTGGGCCGTATAAGTTGTACCATGTATTTTTTAGAAATAAAGATTATTATTATTATCATCATCAGGAAAGTGCAAAAACCCATTGGGGTCATAAAGCATATGTAGAATGGGAGGCCACAGGCTCTACCCAAAGGAAGGGAAGGATAGGTCCATTTTCCCTGGATCAAGAGCTTCTCACCCCTTGAGGGGTGAGAAGCTCTTAATCCAGGTCAATGTTAATTAGTTTAGAGCAACATTTAATGAATTAAAATCAAGTGGTGCTGTGCTTTGGGTGATCACATAAGAGCAAATTTTATACAATAAAACATAAAATTACTGACAGAAAAGAAGTCACCACATAAACCACTTTAGTACAGAGTTAAACAAAATTCCGTATTATTCAAATGTGGAATCTTACCCGTAAATTCTGGGAAGTCATTCCGTTTGTCAATTTCGGCTGCCTTAGGTGCCAATTCTTTCTGCAGAAGTCGAAGACATCTTTCGCAACTAGAAAAAAATAGTACTGTACATTAATAAAACTGTACACAAAAAAGTCAAAAAAAAAATATCTGCACTCTATACATACATACAAGCAGTGATAAATAAGTTAATTGATAAATTGGTATAGGTACGTATATGAACCATATAACCTCTGTCATCTGCAGAAGGTTTAAAAAGAAAAATTGTAAAAATATCTATAAAAAATTGGAAGCTCTATTATAAAATAGAGAAAAGTATCAGCAAGTCACAAACGATCTGTTTCTAACTTGATGCAGCTCACTGTGTGGGCAAAACTTTGTCAATAAAGGATTGCATTATACTTCATTTGTCTCTCTTTTTCCATTGTGTCATTATAAATTACATACCATCTGTCTCCATCATTTGAGGATGCTTAAAAACTGCATCCATAACATTACTTACTGCAAACTTCAAAGTTGAGAGTTTTAAAAGGACAAATTTTCTTCTCTAGCAACAACAGGGAAAATTAAATTTTTCCCACCCTCAACTTACAGCAACTCCTCAATTTTACCTCATGGAATCAAGGACACCAACAAAAATAAGTCACAGTGTTTGACTTTACCGAATTATCCTTTACTGAATTATCCTGAGTTTATTAGACAAGTTAAGGCATGTTAAAAAAACAGGAAGTTACATGCATAGTCTTGCCTAAACAATGGTAAACAAATATTTTTTGCTAATTCTGAATCAGAACATTTTCAAATTTCTGGAATCCCCCTGAGAAAAATTCTGGTGTCAACAAAAGTAACAAACTTTATTTCTATAAAGTGGAGTACAGTAAATTAAAATAATTAGGATAACCGACATATATAAACTACTTTACAGAAAGCCCCCTTATCATGCAAGTGAAAAAGCTCTGTTCCCCAAGCTACAGTACTCCCCCCATCCTTTCCTCATCCTCATATCTGACAATACTAGAATTTGCACAAGTGTTATCCACTGAGGACACAAAATCTCCAAGTGGATATAAACCAAGTCTTCAAATGTGCCTCAGAAAACAAACTGTAACCACATAATAAAGCAGAACACTAATATGAAAGACTTGGAAGTGATAATGTCAGAGGATATCACTTTCAAAGATCACACCAATGTTATTACCGCATCTTCTAGCAAAATGATAAGAATGGATAATGAGCCTTTAATTTTAGGTATGACAAGCCAATGATGGTTATCTTTAAATCATTTGTTCTCTCGAGGCTGAAGGACTGCTGTACACTTACGGCCCCTTTCAAAATCTGGAGATAAATGTAGTACAGCCAAGCACCTCAATTACTGGGACTGTTTGAAGTCCCTTGACCTATACTCCTTAGAATGCAGGTAAGAAAAATACCAGAGGGACTAGTCCCAAATCTGCACACAGAAATCCCTTCCTAAAGAAAGCAAAAAACTGACAGGTGGTGAAACATCCTCCAATGAACAGCAGGGGTGCTGTGAGTACACTAAGAGATTACACAATAAGTTTCATAGGCCCAAGACTGTTCAGCTGCCTCCCATCATACTTAAGAGGGATTACCAACAGACACCTAACTGTCTTCAAGAGGGAGCTGGACAGGCACCTAAATTCAGTACCAGACCAGCCGGGCTGTGGTTTGTACATTGGATTGTGTACAACTAGCAGTAACAGCTTAGTTGATCAGATCCTGATTACCTACGAGGCCTGGTCAAAGACTGGGCTGCAGGGGTGTTGACACCTGGAACACACTCCAGGTGGAATTCAGCCGCAAAGCACATGTAAGTATACAGTATTTAACCCATGATAACCCAGTAAAGTCAAATAATGGGAATAATTTCCATGTTTTGAGGAGTATTACACGATGAAACAATTGTAATATAAGTACATATTCCTTGTACATAGCCTTAAAACAATAAAAAAAATTATACCATATACGTACATGTATTCTAAGTGGAGCAATGTTGGGTTAAGCATTTTCCTGTGTTTAACCCCTTCAGGGTCCAAGGCCAAAATCTGAAGTGGTGCCCCAGTGTCCAAGAATTTTAAAAAAAAAAATAGTTATTTTTTCTTATGAAATGCTTGAGAATCTTTTTGTGAAGGTAATAAAACAAAAAGTACGAAATTTGATGGAAAACTGACGAAATTATGCTCTCGCGAATTTTGATGTGTCAGCGATATTTACGAATCGGCGATTTTGCCGACTTTGGCTCCCATTTTAGGCCATTACATTATTCCAGTTGACCAAATTCTTAACAATTTCACTAGTATTACTTCTATCGATTGAGCACAAGAAATCGCCAAGTCAACTGTTTCAACTACAAAATAAAGTGATCGGAAGTTGGTAATCTGGCCAATTTAACACAAAGTTCAAAATATTCCAATTTCAAAATAGGGTCCAGAATAAACAATGTAGGTATTCCTGGCACTAAACTAACATTTCCTCTGTTCATTAGTTACATTTTGAGGCTTTACAAAAAGATTCCATTTTGATTTTTTATTCACATAATGAATTTTTATTCACACCAAAAAATAGAAGATTTACTGTTATGCAATATTGTAATAATTGTATAAATATCATCACCACATTTGTGAATGTATATTAGACCCACCAGCTGGCGTGTATTAGACGTGTGAGGTCGTTTGTTTACTCTTGAACATCAGCAAAAATTTAACATTTCCGCTACCTTGAGCTCAGTTTCAAGCCATTTCCAGTGCTAAAACCAATCAAAATCATCTCCATTTCTGTAATATGTCTTCCATTCTATCAAATGAGACCAAAAATCGCAAATACAACTATAAAAACATACGAAAAAACACTGCAAAGTCGCTGTTTTAATCGAAAAATCATGGTCTCAGTTTTTTTCCTCTCATTATACACAGTGTGCTGCAGGATTTGTTTTATGTGGTGCACACATACCACATAGATGTATTCTCTCATATCAAGGTCCAAATGTACCACTCACAGTTTATCAGAGTGAGCTGAGCTCATGACGTAGATCTACGGTTTGGACTCTGAACGTAAAGCCGTAGATCTACGGGACGGACCCTGAAAGGGTTAAAGTGCTAAAACACCTTTAAACACATATAATATCATGAGAAACAAGCGTACACAGTGTTAAACATTAAAAGCAATGAAATAAACAAAAAACAATCATATTTCGGAGTTAATAAATTATAAAACTGAAATATCACAGGTGCTTTTACGCTGCTGTTGCCGATATTTATCATCATGAGGGAACACTAGACCCATAGTGATTATACAGAGCTGGGGGGGGGGAGTGAAAGGCATTCAGGCTCAATTCAGGGAACTGGCACACAGATCCAATTCCCTAGATCAAGAGCCTCTCACCAGCATCAAGGAACTTCCCTTGAGGGGTGTTGCAAATAAGTGCTAATTTTTTTTATGCAACTTCAACACACCATCAAATAGGAAGTTTTTATCACATTCCATTCTAGGTTTGCTCAATTCAGAAAAATAAACTCTTCCAGTCTACAAGAAAAGTATTCTATTTTTCAAACTCATTTCCCCCCCCCTACACACACACACACGTGGAAACAGCAGAGGGCCGAGGATACTGCCGTGTGTGGGACATGTATTAGACAGATCATGTTGAGGCAGGTTGTAAAACTTGTAATCTTGATAAGAGACACTGATACTGTAGATTAGGTAAGTAAATTTGTGCAGAT